TTTGATTGTAGATTTTTGCTATTCTTTATTCTTACACTTTTCAGACGATGGGTCCTGAAGTAGGTGGAGTTGACAAGGAGGAGGAAACATCTAAAACGTCAAAGCAAATGGGAGATACAGGAGAATTAGAAGAGGACGTAGTAACTCCGTGGAATGTCACGGCCTCTAGTGCTCTAGGAGTAGACTACGATAAGCTGATAAGTGAGTAAAGAAAAATTAGAGCTGTTTTTAATGTTAGGTTCTAAAAAAGTCTTTAAAGCTTATTGTATTATAATTTTTAAAATCCTATTTTTGCAGAGAATGTTCTTTGTTTGCCGTAGTTACTTCGTTGATGCGTTGAAACTGGATGACTGCGGGTCTTTTCTTTGTTTTAAAGGATTTTCTAGTTCAGATGCTGTTTTTTTTAGTTAGGTTCGGCTGTCGCAAGATTGATGCTGCGTTGATTGAGAGGTTTGAGAAAGTCACAGGCCGTCGTGCGCATCCTATGCTTCGTAGGGGTCTATTTTTCGCTCATAGGTTTGACGTAGATTTTGGATACAATGAAGTTTTTTTAATGTTTTCTGGTTTCTCTTCAGAATTTTGGATATATATTATCTGTTTCAGAGATCTTTCTCTTATTTTGGATAGGGTTGAACAAAAAAAGCCATTCTACCTATATACTGGAAGAGGTCCTAGCAGTGGGAGTCTCCACCTTGGCCATTTAATTCCGTTTTTGTTCACGAAGTTCTTACAAGATGCATTTGATGTTCCTTTAATTATTCAGGTGCCTTACCACTTTTTTTTCGTTGTTCATTCTTATTGCCTTCGCTTTTGTACATTTGTTCTTACAGATCACTGATGATGAGAAGTTCCTTTGGAAAGGATTGTCTTTTGAGCAATCAGAAAAAATGTCGCGAGAAAATATTAAAGATATCATAGCCTGTGGATTTGATCCCTCGAGAACATTTATATTTCGCGACACCGAATACATGTGGTTTGTTGTCGTTATTTTCTATTCGTTTGATGCTTAAAAACTTTCACTGTATTAGATCGTGTTATTA